TAGTAAACCTAATTTTTTTTTATTATATTATACTAAATACTATATGGTAATTCATTATAATGTTTCTTTTGGTCGATTTTCGTTTTAATGTTACATCTCACAAAAGTAATGACAAATATGATATCCATATATATATATATATATATATATATTTATACATTCGATCCTCTTATATCCATTATTACCACAACTTTTTGCTCTCATAGTTAGCTATGACTCCGTCCATATATTTTTAAGTTTAAGTAATGCTTACAATTTGTGCCTAAAATGTTCTTCCGCATTTTTCATATTTTTCGAGATATTTGCCTGGGACAATTACAATGGAACATCTTATAGATATGTATTAATAGATATGTATTATTTTCCCCACAGTTAGGGAAAATAATAATATTCATATTATGATTACAAATATGATAATTGAGATGGATGCTCATAATTTCCGCATTTCTTAAGCACGCTTGTTTAAAAGAAGGTATATTTATATTTGTATTAATGTTTTTAATTATTATATTATGTTGCTTTTGTTTTGTCACGATTTGCCATACTTTTTTCTGCACTTTTTTTTATCAACACGCTGCTCAAAGTGAAGTCTTACAACATATGTGCATATTAGATATAAAAATCTCGCTGTAGAAATATGTTAAAATGAAACGTGAGTTCCATAACTCTTATGTATAATTCCGCGCATGATACTTTTCTTTTTATAATAATTTATTTTTCTTCCATTGGGCTGCGCGTTGAGTTATTGATTGGAAAACTTCCAAATCAATTGGAAAGATGTTGCTGGCACATTTTTCCATAAAAAAAGAATTATTTCTTTTATATTATTAAGAAGAAGAGAAATGGCTTCTTAACTCGAAGATAAATATTTTTGTGCGAGTTAGTCTCATTTTTGAGACTTATAAATATTTATGTTCCGCATACATTTCGAGGTATCGCTGGATACAATGAATGATATTTTCTTAGAGTTATGGAACAGCAACGTTATTAAAAGTGATACTGAAAGTTCGGTGAACACATCGCACGAATGAAGATTGGAAAACTTTGATAAACGAGAACATCGAAGATCAGAGTTAGGCGGTTATTACCGCTAATTCGCTGCTGCTACCGCTGATGCTAGAGGTATGTCTACAGAGCTTCGCTGTTAGTCTGCTATTCTATAATGATCGTCTAATTGCTTCTTATGCTTACTATGCTTTGATATAAAAGAAAATATGTTGGAGTATTTCTTCTATAAAAAAATATACAAAGATTGAAATACCTAATAATAATGCACATATTATATATTTAACTACAGCACTTACAAATTTAAATCAGCTTATCTTTTTATTTTTTTTCTTTTTTATAATATTACATTCTTTTGTATTTCTATGTTATTTTTTGATCTTATTTTTTAACTTTATTAAGTTGATTGCTTTATGTGTACAAGAAATGCGAAAAATCTAAATTTATGTTTCTAGCATGTGTCTGAATCATGTCAATTCTAATTTAAAAAAATTCGAAAAGTTATGAAAACTTAACAAGCGCCAGTTGTATTCCACAAATATTGCTATATATCTTTTCATATTTTTATTTTATCTTGAATGGATTATTCTCATACTTGTTACTAGTTTATAAATATATAAAACATGCCCGTACCGCTTCATAAGAAAATTATGTTAAATAAAGTGATAAAAACAAGGTCAGATAATCATGTATTTACTTTCAGGATGAAATGGAGACAATGCGTCATTCTACACAGCGAGAGAGAGCACAACTTTCTTGTCAATTAGCACAAACGGAAGAAGAGGTGCGTCACTTAAAGGATAAAGTATTTGTATTAGAGCAGAGAATCGCTCTAGAAACAAATGATCAAATAACAGTTGATGAAAGAATAGCCGATTTGATGCGCGAGAGGACACTATTAGAGAGAAAACTTGAAGAAGCACATCTTCACCTCTCTGATATAAAAACCAGTTGGTCGGGTAAGATCTCCAGTCTCGAGACACAGGTCGGCAGGCTTAGTAGACAAGCTGGTGAAGAGGGATTGGAACGCAGGCGGGTCGAACAGGAAAAAGAAAGGCTTATACATAAAATTAAGCAATTAGAGGCTGACATAGAAGTGAATAATGTTGTTATGGCAACGAAAGACGCCAAACTTTTACGCATGACGGAAGATATGGATGAAATGGCCATGGAACTGAAAGAGCTCCGGGCTAGTGTTGATGATGAGGTGGATGAATTTAAACGACAAATTGTGAGTTACCGCAATATGTAATGACGACAGAATGTGCATGAATTAGATTGTTTCTTACCGAAGATTTTTCCGAATTCCTATTTTAAAGAGGCATTTCTTGAAACGGAACAGATTTCGTTCACAATAAATTCCTACACTAATCAATAATATATAAAACTTGCTGTTTGTTGGTCTTAGGCTACTATTGGCTACAGTTTTTATGCAATAAGAATACAATGTTTTTATAAATATGTTGCATTCTCAAGATACAATAATTTTGCAATGTGATATATGACTTTGCTATTATTCTAAACAAAAACAGTAAAGTATTGATGTTTGAGGTATTGAAGTTTGAAGAATCTTTTATTATCTAATATTTTTTATTTATCTTAACATATCGCAAAAAGTGCCCCTTGTTTATATTTTTAACATACGCTTGTCAACAACAAAATTAGCAGCTTTAATTATTCTCGATTTTTATTATCTTTTGTAACATATTCATATTTTAATATCGATTATTTATTAACATTCCTGTTAACTTACTGCAATCACCTTGAATTATGATATCAGAAGCGAGAAAATACATGATAAAAACTTTTGTAAAATACATTAAAACAGATATATTTTCCAATAAAATAACATTTACAAATATAAAATATAATTGTAAAATACGTTTTGAAAAGTTTTTTTTTGCTCCAATTAATAAATAACTATACATATGATTAATAATAAATCACCGTATAATTAAATGATGTCTAATTAAATATAGAGCCACAGATATATAATTATTTATTTATTGATGCAAAAGAAGAATTTTCGATATTTTATAAGTCTATTCCACCGATTGTAATCGTTATTTTATCGAAAAATGTTTCTATTTTAATGTTTCTATTTTGCAGAAATTTATATCATACATTTTCTCGTCGTTCAACATCATATTAAAAGTGCAATGAATTAACAGAAGTCTTAAAGTTTATAAATCAATAATTCTTTAGAGGAAAAATACATTTACATTGCTTTTTATTATGTAATGTATATATTTGTTTTCTAACATTTTTATCTTTCAAGTTTAACACAATCAATCAATAAAACAAATATACAATCAATCAATATAACAAATATCAAATATAATAATCTAAAATGATCACAGAAATAAATAGATAACATTTAATATAATGCATTACATACACACACACAAACACTATGGCTATATATAATTATTTTTTCTTTTACGTTTTTAACGTTAAATATATTGTAGAAGTTGTAACTTGTATTAGTGTAATTATTTGTTTGAATTTAATAATTTAAGTGGGACATATTAACTTTCACATATAACAATCACATTAACTAATTATATACTATCGAGTGGATTATGTGCGTGCGTATATTTGTTTACTGTGTGATAATTGCATGCATATGTGCATGCGTGGCAAGTACGTGTGCGCTTACATGTGCATTACCCATGCATGCGCATGGTATGTATGCACACATACCCACATACATACCGCGAATGAAAATATCAAGAGAGTTCTCGAAAAAATAATGAACGTATTAATACCTAATTAATAGGAATAATATTCTTTTAGATATATACCATGCACATATTAAAAAACGTCTTAATGAAGTTATTTTTAATTACATCTGAAAATTATTATTTTATACGATATTTTGGGAAGCTTATACATCTATTCATATTATCGATAACACATTTATCCATCAAGATACGTGGTGTTATCAATCTAGTAACATGCGCGCGTGCACGCAGAGAGAGAGAGAGAGAGAGAGAGAGAGAGAGAGAGAGAGAGTAGAGAGAGAGAGAGAGAGAGAGCACATTTACACATTTACACATTTACACATTACACATATTTACGCTTATACATAAAAACATATATCAGACATACGAGATTAAGCTTGACCGTGTAATTGACCACTTATGATACATTTTAAGGCTCCTGACTAGTCACCATGATCATATTGAAATCGTAGATAGCTTTACAGTTTTTTAGAGAAAATACCTGCAAATGGATTATTCCAAATCTTCATAACTCAATGAAAAAGTAAATGTAATAATTAAAAAAACATTTTATAAAGAGAAAATATTAATTTTACAATATGGCTAAAAAATTTTAGAGCAAAAATTTTGTTTCTTCCGTACACATTATCAAAGTTAAAATTTATTTCTCAATTTTTTATAAGGTTCATTTTAAATTAGCATCGTTTGTAGGAAAATCTTTGAAGAAAACCGTGTTTTAGGATATTTAAAAGTTGAAATTTTAAGCTTTAAAATGTGTTGAAAAATTGTCCAGAAAATTCGGCATGGTAAACGATCAATTCTATTCGCTTGTTCTGCGGCTTTAACAAAACACGTATGTATTATAAGAAATTCTTTTGTCCTTATTTATTTGTCGCGAGAATACATTTCGCCAAGCAACATTTCATCGATCCGAGTCCTTCTGTTTTCGAAACTGTTAATTAAATGTGTGACAACTTTCCGCAAAACGTTTATACGTTTTTAGTCCCCTAATACTCACCATTAGCCAAGAATTAGTTTTGTGTCGCGTTTTCTCTGAAAGGAATAGTGAAAGCTATTCAGTGAACTTCGGAATTATGTCGATATTGTTAAGCTTTTCGAAACTGTGTCGTTGAATTACTCCCATGAAGAGAGTGGAGATTGTGTCATTGGGTTACTCCCACGAAGGGAGTATTGGAAACTTTTTTTTTTTTCTTTTTCCGATTTCAGCGTTTCTGAAATCCTATCAGCAGTGATTCTCCGCCGTCTAATGTACTGAGCTTCCTAAGTTCCTGCAGGCGGCCCTTTGCCGCCTTCTGTATTACGCTTCTTGAATTTCTGCAGCGGTCATTTCCTGCGTTCTCACAGCGGCTTTACGCCGTTTCCTAAGTTCCTGTAGCAACCCTCCGTCACCTTCTACACCACGCATCCAATGCTTTTGCAATGATTCTCCGCCGCCTCTCAATACGCTTCCTGAGTTTCTTGCAACATCTCTCCGTCGCCTTTTGCACTTTCGAATTCCTGCAGACCCTACACCACTTCCTGTATTACACTTTCTGCGTTTTCACACGGGCTCTCCGCTGCCTCCTGCATCTTCGCCATCTTTATCACAAGCTCTTAAAATTTCTTCATGTCAATCTTTTTGTCCTAAATTAAATTGTCCTTAAAATCTATAAAGTCCTTGTTACATTCTTGTATCAAATTACTCATCCAGTATAGTGAATTTTTTGCTAGCAAAATTGCGATCCTAAATATCTGATTTAAAACAATTAACACTTTTAGTCATCATACAATATATATTGTAAATTAACGGAAATTAATTAACAATAATCGTTTCGCTCGCATTAGAAAATTTACATAGAATCAAATAATTGAATTAATAGGGGAAGCGTTCCGCCTTTGTCTCAATTCAGTGTCCCGATTTTGCCGAAATTTAATCATAACATGGTGTTGATATACAAATAACAAATATTATTCGATGCGCTTCTTATATTAATTATTAACGAGAAATTCCGATTTGAATCTTAATATCCGCTCCATTAGTATCATTACAATAAAATGTTTATCAGGCATCGGTGTGGCATAGCATGCTTGATGCTGCGATGAAAATCTGAAGGTTGCACCTCGATACTTTATAACTTTTTTTCTTTTTTCACACTGATTTTAAATGATCTTTTTTTAATTTTATTGAGAAATTTATTATTTATTATTACACTATTATTACACTATTACACTAATAACTTTTTTGATACACAATCATCAATATATGTGATTTCTAGGATGACAGTTGCTGATGAAGTAAGCGCAGCGAGAAAACCAATCAACAAAGTGGAAAAGGGACTTCAACATTTCGATATATTCGAGATTTTGATAACATGACTTTTTTGAGGAAACTTTTATCTACCGATAAAGTGCTATTAAAAACTGCCAATTTTATAGAAATTTACATAACACACACAAACACACACACACACACACACACACACACACACACATTTGTTATCGCTGTTAAGCGATTGTCTTTCCATGTAACAAATTTTTAATCATAATAGCATGTAAGTTCATAAAAAACTGATCAATCGCAATTGATTATTCTTTAATAACAAGGAGAATCAATTGTGTAATTGGTCAATTTTCTTGCAAATTTACGATTATACGACTATAAAAACTTGTTACGTGCAAAGATCTTTAGCGCCAACGCTACATACCAATACTACATCCGGCATGCACGCTTATCTGTCATCATAAGCGCACTTTCATTTTATCACGATAATCTGATCGAACAGGGCGAAACAAATATTATAAATATATTCTTTAGGACGATCTGTAAATCATCATCATGACATTTACACATTCAAAAAAATGTTCCGTTGATCTAACTAAAATTCTGAATGTTTATAGCTGCATGTTAAAATGCATCGTTATTTTGTGTATCTATTAGAAAATTACCCTATGTAGAAGTCCTTATAAGAGCATCTAATAATATATACAAGAAAATTTAAATCTCAAAAAATTACACACTTTTATAAGTGTGAATGGCTATTATCTAATTGGGCACTATAGAGAGACTTTCTTGCTTGAAATTTGATAAATCATCCAGATATAAATTCTGTCTTTATTATTTATATTGATAAGATGCAAAACATATACGACACCACGATATGATATTATATACAAATGCTTGTTTTTTTTATTTATATTTTCTTAATTCTATTTTGCTAATCATTTATATATTGCTTGCTCATTTAATATTTTAGCTAATTTTTTGTATCTAATAATTGCACTATGATTGCAAAATCATATTTTTCAATGCAGAAAGAAATAAACTATATTGTTAACTTGGCTACAATCCATTTAGGACTGCTTTAAATACTTGGAAATATTTGCTCGATCAATTAGAACAAAGAATTTTTATCAATTGTTTGATCAAAAAATATTTCGAAATATTTACAACACCAAGTGAATTGCATTTTATAGTTCTTATGTTTCGTTATTTCTTTTCCACTTGGCAATCGATTGACCGTATCTATATGAAAATTGGTTTTAAAGACAAAAGCATGTATTACAATTGATTAATTTAAAAATAACATATAAATTAGTTTATGTAAGCATAAAATTATTCTAACAGCATTATTAGCAAAGAAACTTTATTCCTTATGTTTTAAACTGGAAACATTATTTGTCTTCATTATTCTATTATAACTTGAAATACCTTGAAATACCTATATATCTAGTAATGCTAAGTATTTGCATTAAATATTTTTTATTTTAATTAAAACACGCTTCACAATGGATCATTCTTCTTTTATTCTTTTTGATTTTTTTGATGCATTTTTTTCATTTGAATAGGAATATATCCAATTTTCCTTATCGTGAAAAATTCTTTATGGAAATGTGTGCGTGCGTGCTTGCGTGCGCGTGTGGCCATAGGCATGGGCATGAGATGGTGAGATGATGAGATGAAGCAGAGTGCTAGAGTATGGGTGAGTAGGGGTGTAGATTTGGATATATGAAATAATTTGGGTGTGTTGAAATATTGCATAGACATACCACAAATAATTCCATAATTGCATTCAGCTAAGTTCGTTAAAACATTATATATTTATAATAAATATACATTCGTATTAATATCTGAATTATAGTTGGTGCAGTTTTTCATACCTTGCCTCATTTTTTTTTTTTTAAACATTTACATTTTACAACAGGTTTTTTTATTTATAACTTTAAACAATATGTTAATCTTACATTTTATTATTTTTTTTCTAGACAATATATGTGCGTATATACTTGACACCATTTTTTTTTCTTATATATAACTTATATATAACATGAACTATACATTTTATATATCAAAAATTATTAATTTGAAAAATGTCAAATTATGCATTTCAAAAATTGATATTATGATTTATTTTTTCGAGAACTTTATTATAGACATATATTTAGATGGCATTTTAATTCATAAATTTTGTAGCTGCACATTTTATACAAATAGAACATGTGTGTGTATTCAGTTAATAAATTGTATTAATTTGTTTTCATTTTAATACGTCAAGTGCATTCTAATATATTAATTACATTTTATATCAATTATTTAATGTATGGAATTGTTGCTAATGATCCAAATGAAAATTTTATAGACGTCATTATAATTTGCTACATATAATTATTTAAATACATTAACTTAAATACTTATAATATTTTATTTGAGTCATTATCTAAAAATTGACAAAATAATGAATGTATCTTTTTAATTCTGTACATGAAAAATATGAATGTTATATTGCTGCTATAAAGCTTTATGTTTTTTACATGATAAGCAGTTTATTTTTTTAATTCTTAGTATATACGATAATTTTATTATGAATTCTTTAATTTTGCTTTTATAATATTGTTTAAATGTTACAAGTTATTCGGAAGCGTGTTAAAAAAAATTGACGTTATAAGAAATAAATAATTTATGCAAGCGGTATCCTAATATTATGAATAATACAATTTATCTTTTTATATTATTATACATGCTTGTGTACATTCGTGCGAAAGAAAAAGGCCGCGCATAATGAGAGTAATGCGCGTTATGTATGTTTTATTTACTAAATAAAGAATACAAAGATTATAATTTCTTGCTTTTCATTCACCTTTAATTTTACTTTTTCATCATTCTTTTATTTCCATGTCCTGTCATAATCTCATCCCAGAGTGTTTAAAAAAGTGTTATTTCGAAACTTACGTCATTAAGAAAAATAGATTTCCAGATAAATACGGAAAATTTTGAGGGCGCGCATTCATTTCCTCTCCTCAAAACAAGCGCTCGCGGGCGAGAAGAAAGAAAAAGTTTTTTTTTATTTTTAATTTATTATTATAGTATTGTCAGCTGCGTCCATATAGTTACCATTTGTAAGATTAATAAATGAAAAATCAAGTCTTGGAAGTATAATACATACTCATCAAAATAAAAAAATTTTAATCTTTTCGCTATTGTAAGCGATATTATCCGTCATAAAACAATTTCTGTATATTATAAATGACTATAATCTTAATGCATAACACTCATATTTTAATATTACTACAATACAATCAGTAGGAGCACTTCGTGTCTATGAGGCATGAAACTGCAGTAAGACATATAACAGATTCGATAACTATAAATCTAACATATGAGAATTTTGAAAATCAAGAAATTATGAGATATTTTATATTTTATTCTTACATATTTTGACATGAAATATAAAATATCTTGTAAATTATTAATTTTTTTCATAATCGTATTGCGGTACTTTTATGTACAAATGAGACGAATTAATTATATATAAAAAAATTAATAATAGAACAAATATATTGCAATTTATATAATTTTTTAAAGTAACTTTTCCTTAATATCTTCTTTCGATCAATTGATTTCTCTCATTAATCTGAATATAAAAATATTAAAGTCCTCAAGAATGTATCAATAAATAGTTTACAAGGTATTTTATATTTGATGTTAAAATATGTCAGAAATATAAGATATCTCATAAGATTATTGATGTTTTATGTTGCCTCAATACTTTTGTATTTAATAGCTAGAGAAATAAAATT